CAAGCTGCAGGCTTCCCCACTGCAACACAGGGATGAGGATTGAACTCTACTGCAGAGGTCATTGGGATGCTGCAGCCAGGAAGCCTTGAAGATGAGCTAATTTCCAGTACACAGGTCTGTCTTGGGATCACAGCTCTTCTACTGCAAAGAATTACCTAGACCTAGCTTCTCAGATCTGTCCCACTAATTCATTACTCTCCAAGAAGCTAAAAATGCATGAGAAAAATCTGGGATGACAATAAGGATATAAAATTTCTGAATTGCTAGTTGGTATTGACATGAAAAATAAAGAATACTGCCTCTGGTGCTGAATCTAGCCCTTACAGTTTGGAGTTGTTTAGGAGTATATTTTAGGTGCTATTTGTTCATGGTATTCTGAAGTATCCTCCTCCTTGAAGCAAGGGTTGAATGTTCCTCTCTGCAGCCTTTCCAGCTGGCTTTGGCAGGCTCTCATGTACAAGTTTCTCATGTGTCTGGGACTGGGACACAGCACAAGTTGGTTAATAGTTACATAGCACAACTGAAATGCAGTTCTGGAAGGAAGGTGGTAATCATCAGCATACATTATTTTCCCCCTGCCATGATAATTAACATGGAATAATTTCAGAGCTTGTACCCTGTTTGTGGCATTCGGTGCAACCACATTGCACAGCTATATAATCTGTTCAAAGGTGCTTGTTTGAAACTCACAGAACACCATTCCTGCAGTCATCATATCATATCAATATCTAAGTGGCTACAGTTACAGAAGAAATGTAACAGTACTACAGCAGAAAAGCATTAGGAAAAGGTTTGAAAAGTTATTACTTGTCCTCTATTACCTTCAAGAGATAGCTGGAGCTGAGCTTGTCAGAATTGCCATTTCCAAGTTTTGGAACAGAACCCCATTAAATGTTGTTGAAAATAACAACATTCTCAGAATTAATTCCTTGTGCTATTTATGAACTGTCTGGATTTTGAGAAGTTAGGGGTCATGCAACCTTCTATCTCCAAAGATGCAGATGTTCTCAGAAAATAATAACACAGCAATTTCCTCAGTATCCCAGTAGTCCCAGAGAGAGAAGAAAGTGCCAAAGAGAACAACTGGTCAGCAAATTGAACCGTTAACATCAAATGTGGCATAGCTGCAGCTTTGCTAAGATACAAATTACAACAGAAACAACACAACTACCAACAATGCACCTAAAATTGCTATGAGAAGACTTATGCCTACACATAGACATACACACACATAGCTTTATTATGTAATACAGAGAGATTCTATTATATATCCTTTGACATTTATAATAGACTATAGTTTATGAGCTATTAAAATATATATATCTTCTTTATTATATACATACTGACTATAATTATTTATAGCTTGTATACAATATAATTTTAATTTTTATAGAGAAAATTATTTTAAAGAAGAATGGTGAAATGCAGAAATCTGCATTATGAAATGCATAAATTAAGCTGTGAGGTATTTGGGCACAACCTCAGAACAAATCCATAACCTCAGTTACAAGAAGGCCTCTCCCTTGCTCCTCTGTCTTGCAGATATTTGGCCTTTTTTGAAAGCTGAGACAGGCATCTGCTACAGAAGGAACAAGTACTTGTATTGTATCAGTAACAGAGATGTCCTGTGTTACTTATCTTGCAGGCACAGCACAAAGGCCAAAAGTTCCTACTTCTTTTCAGGCTCATTGATCCAAGCTGGGTGACATGGCAAGGCATGGTAAGAACTCTGAGGCAAGGGCACTTCAGCAGCACCAAACACAGCTTCACACACACACTGTGAAACCCCAGCTGCTGCAAAGTGCTTGCTGTTATAACCACACAAACATGGCCCTGTTAAATGATCAGTCTGCTATCACCTGACCCACGTTTCCTGGCTAGCTGCTGCAGGCTAAAGAGTCCCTGTGCTGACAAAGATGAGGATAATATAAAACTCTTGGTGCCAGAGTTCAAACAAGCATAGGCAATGAAGTGCAGCATCTTTTAGCTGCACTTTGATAGAAAAGCAAATCTTTTTTTCAGCTCTGCTCATGCAACATTTACCTTCTCCACTGTGAACATTGCTGCCTTTACAAGACATCAGTCTGCTTATCCCAACTCCATCAGTCAGGAGGTTTTCTGCAGTCCTCTGTAGCAAGGGTAAATTTTCAGGTTGCATCATTCAGGTCTCTCTCATCTTCCTCCTTCAGATATCTCCCTAGGCCATATCTTGCATAAACACATGCATTATATAAGCTCAACCCCATAAGTTTTACACTCAAATTTTGTGTCAGTTGTGAGAAAATTAATTCCCAGCCAATTCTACTTGCTTAGAGACTACCAGCCCTGGACACCAAGATGCACATTTTTATGGCTGGGACTTGTCTCTGTGTATGTCAGACCTACCTCAGGCTTTTATCTGCTCCCACACAAAATCCTGTGCCCTGAACTACCACGGGCAGTTGGTGTTTAAGCATTTGCATGCAGGATGAATTCAAGACAAGTGGTGAAATTATGGAACAGAGTATCCTTTTATCCTGTTCAGGCAATAAAAATTCACCATGTCTAAAACAGTTATTTTACTTAGCATCTGACCACAGCGTAGAATTTTTCAATTTTCTCATCACTAGGTTTTTCTCACTTGAAACAGTATGAAACTCAGACTGTTTCATAGACCTGATTCTTTACCATCACCAAGTAGATCGAACATTAATTTTCATAGGGCTTTTAGCAGTGAAATTAGTCTGATTTTTTTTCCCTCCAGCAAGCTTGACCTTGGAGTCAACATCCTGGTTAGCAGTCAATGTGACATGATCACACAGAGCATGAGGATTCCTCTCTTTGCCTTCATGGCAAAATACATGCCATTTCATTGTCTTGATGGAGCCTTCAAACTTTACTACAGACTGAGCCAGCCAGTCCTTTGAGGGGAGAAATGCAAATCAAATGCTTGAATCAAGTCAGGTTTAAAGAACTGAATTTTTGGAGAGGGGCAGAGAGGATGGAGAGAAGAAAATGATCATACATTTTCTGTCCACTTATGCACTGTTATGATGGGATGACAGTGGGCTGAACAACAGAAGAGCAGCCAGAACTCTACAACAATTCCATGGTCACTAGGTCCTCAGCTTCCCCACTTCCACAAATCTTCCTGATGCCAGAAGCCACCTCAGAGAGTGAACTGTGAGGCATCCCAGGAACAGGACAAACAGATGCACTTTGTTCATGCTGCTCTTTTGCAAACTCTACACATGGTGACACAAAGACTCCCTGTATTTCACATTTCAAGTCCCAGTATCACTAAGGTACTGGAAGTGTAAGTGTATCTTATGTTTTATGCATATTATGTTTATGATTAGTGTATCTCATGTTTTAACTAATAGCACAGCTTTGCTAATATTACCTCCTCTTTTATTTATAAAATTTTTAGGTGACCGGAGTGAGTTTTTGTACTCATCTTGCTAATAAATATGCCAGTTTGTGACTGACTGAGATAAGACAGTTGCACACAAAGCTTTCACTGAAGTATCTGCTTTACTTTGGGCCGTATGTAGGATATAATCCTGTGTGTATGACAGGCATATACAGCAACCTTTTTGTCTTTGAATTGCCTATATAATGTGAAGTTATATATGGACTGGGCATCCCTCATTCCCTTTGCTCAGATGGAGACAGTGACAGTGACAGCAGCCTATACCAAATCAACAAAGTAGCAATATCCAACATATAGTCCAGCTTGCCTATTCTACATTTCTATCAAAAAGTGGTTTCCAAACTCAGAGGTACAGGGAAGCAGAGTACTCCAAATAAAAATAGTCAGAAAGATTTGTGGTAACTTCATTATTTGAAAAAAGAAACAGCTCTACTTATCCAAAGTAACTACTACTTCTCCACAAATCCTTTGTCTAAGGTGCTGAACCAGCACCTACCATGTTGCTGTTTATAAACCTGCCTAGAAGTCTAACCCAGCTTCACTGAACCACCAAATAATACTCTTTGCAGGTGATGTACACATATGTTTCTTAGGAAGGGACATATGACCTCAGTGAGGCTTGGGAAGCCCATTCTCACAAAACAGATATTTCCAACATATTTTTACATTCACCACCTGAAAGAAAACACATTAAATATCTCCCAGGTCTGAGCTATCACAACACCATGGAATTGATTTTCATCACTGAACTGCATAGCTACTGACCTTCCTCAGCTTGGGTTGAACAGCTTCCAACATAGTACAGGTGCTTCCTCCTGGAGCTGTGTATTTTTTTTTTTCTGTGTCCTGACATGTCAGCTTTTTTATGCAATGTGAAAGCTTTGTCATTCAGCTGTTCCCATTCCCCATGACATGGCTGGTACCACTCTGCTTTATTTCTCCTGCTTCAGAGTACCCAGAGTACAACTGAGGAGAAAAGAGCTACAATGCCATGTAGCACATTTTTCCACAATCAGGAGTGTGTCTGAAAAGAGCCCTACAAGGTCAAATATAAGATGCTTAAATGGTTAAAATCAGCTACTGAATCATCTTATGTCATGTCTTACACTCCCTCTGCATTTACTGTTCAGTAACAGTGCAAAGCACTATGCAAAGAATGCCTCCAACAAACTGGATCTGTGTCTTGGCATTCACTGGAACAGAGACGACCAAGCAGAACGGGGCCTGCCTCAGCTGAATACACTGCTGAGAAAATTTCTGCATGGAAATTCAGAAAAGGCATCCAGCCTCTCCCACACCATACTAGTTCCTAGATCAGCTTAAGCTCACATGGCATGTCAAAAGCAGAAATGCTCCAAGTTTATCAACAGGTACATAGTTGCATTTGACTCTAACTTCAGGAGCCTGCACATGTCAGTGCTGTGTAAAAAAGTGTGAATTTTTTGGAATTAGAGTAGAACAAAATGTTAGTCTGCCTAATCCTTGAGTTTGTTCTGCTTTGGATCCATCCCCTGTGGCTCAATTCTGAACAGTGAGTTTGAGTAACACCAAAAAGATTGAGGTGAAAGCTTGAAGGCTTCCCTCTTACCAGGTGAATCTGCTGCAGATGTTCTACCACTGGTCAAGTCCTCAGTATTCAGTGACTGCAGGTCTGTGTAGGAGGGAGCAATGCTTGGGCTGCTGGTGTCCTCTGAGTTGGTTGTCCAGCTGCTCTCTGAGGCACGGGCTTGCCTCTCAGAAGAGTTGGAAGAGGGGGAAGTCCAGCTGGGTACTTTTGATGCAGACACTATTTGCAGAAAACAGGTATTGGTTAAAGACATGCAGAACAATCTACTGAAAGATCACAACTATTCTGAAGACATGCTAGGTCAGTGTACTGGGGCTCTGTAAATACAAATTCCAACATCTACAGCAACACAGTTATTTTGTAACAAATGCAGAGCAAATTTCTAGTGCCTGGCACCCTCCAACACTACTCGGATGTCTGCCTTAAATTCCATGCTGCAGGCAGCCATATGCTTTTCTGTTGCTCAAGTATTGGAGAAACCGTGACTTTTCAGAACAAGATTTCATGTTTCTGACACTGCTGACAAGACCTGAATATGCTTGTTATGCAACTCAGTGGAGTTTTTACAGCACCACAGATTTTTTTTTAATGGTTTTATTTTATTTAATTAAGCATTCCCTATCTGTGACACCCACTCAAATGAAGCCATCATCTCAGGAATGCTCTGCATGGAGGGGGAGTGCAAAAATAACCTGAAATTGACCTATTAATGTGCACTAGGAATGGCTTTTGTTTCTAAAAATGCAGAATGTAGAATCCCAATTTGAATATACTACATGACGTTTTTGCTCAGTGTAGACCAAAAATCCTGTTCTACTCATTCACCAGACTTGCATGTCAAACAGTTCAGTCCTGCCTAACCATCACCCAGAGTTCAGAACACAATCACACACATCCACTGCTATGAATTTGTATTCTGTGCTCTTTGTATTACATGCTCTTTGCCCACAACATCACTTGAATGCTAGCAACAATGGATGACTCTAGTGAGGAAATAATACTAATAGAAAACAAAGTTATGGCTAAAAAGTCTTCCTGAACTAAGGAAAAGTGTAGGGGTAGAGACTAGTTCTAATTTAATATCAGCTTAATAACTGTTTTCTAAATTAGTACATCTGTATTTAGCTGTTAAACCAGCAAAGATCTTGATGCTCCCCAAATCTTGCAGTTACAGTGAACAACTACTTGCACAAAGATTTTCTTCTCAGTATGTAATAAACAAACAACCCTTACTCGGTTGACAGATACTTTGGAAAAAATGACAAATTAATGTCAGAGAAGATTTATCTCTCTCCATCCAAGCAATATGATGGGACACTTCCACATTATGGAAACTTTGGTATGTGCATAGACAGAATATCCAAACAGTGCTCTCTGCCTTGCCTCCTGAGAAGTGTGAATTTACTTTGTATACCTGCACTGATAATCTCAGCTAAGTAGGCAGTGATACTTTTATATGCGTACAGCTGTGAGCTTTCTGACACTGAGTGGCTTTTGAGGAGTCATCCCTGAGGATGAGGAGCTGAAAGTCAGATCTGCCTCCTTATTGCACAGGTTGACAGCTGTCTGACACAGAACCAAAGCCTTCCTCCCTGCAGTAACTGCACACTGTGTGGTGCTCGGTGCCTGCAGAGAAAGGACTATGAATGTATGATTGCAATCTGTCAGTCCCTCTCTCAATCCTTTTGTTAAACACGGCACCTCAAAAGCCATCCTTAAAACTTCAGCTGAAATTGCTTTGACAGACAGAGCACTTTATTTGGACATAAAGGACAAACTGAAAAGCTGAGCTCTGTATGTGGATCATTAACAGGAGCCAAGTGGTTTTTTTTAAGTGTGCTTTATGTCCTAGAAACTGTGGATTTATTTTATTTTAAAAAATCTTACATTTCCAGTATTTTTTTAAATCAGCCACTGCAGTATGAAAAAACAGGCTAATTTAGAAACATGTAAGATCTAATAACTCAAATACTGCCAACTGGTTTTGTGCTTTCCAAACTCAATTTTTATCTAAGAAGGCATCTGACTGGACTAGTGTTGCCAAATACTTCTATGTAAGGGCAAATTAATTTTATTCCAGGCAAGTTGGGCCATCTTGAAAAAACAGAATTGTTTGCTTTTTCCTAAAAAGAGTCTTGTACTTTGGAAAACCAAAACCACAGGCAGCTTTTCCTGCCACAGATCTTCTTTAAATTCTTACTACATTTACCTTCTACTTGTGACTGTTCTAGGTTCTCCAACACTAATTATTAAAACTAGCAAAAGGGCATTTTCCCCTATGCTGAGCCAAAAGACCATCTAGCAATCTCAAAAAGCAAGACAAGCAAGAGTAAACATCTACACACATGTTTAAGATCTCTCTTCAGATGCTTCTGCTTGCTGCTCTTCAGATTCCTGGAAGTGCTGCAGCCAAATTCCAAAATGAGGCAGGGCTCTTGTAAAAATCTCAGTCTCTAATGCCAATAGCCAGAGAGTCACAGCCTTTCTGCTATAGGAATTTCTCAGAAATCTGTTTATGTTGAAAGACCAGTGCCAGAACTATCCCTAAAATGCAAATTCTGTAGCATGCATTGGATATTGAAAATCAACTCATTTTTTCCTAAAACAAAAACATTTCCTTCAACATGCATTTTAGTTTTCTTGACAGGTCTATGCTTAAAACAATGGATTGGCTTTTAATATGCAGATTTCCTTGAAGCATTAAGTCCTTTTTGGTGTTTTGAGGACCTCTTCCTTGATCCCTACACTGTATTATAATAAACCATGTTAGCATAATTTCCTTTCTTATTACATAGGACTTCATATTTTTCTGATTTTAACATAGCATCACAGTTTCTAGTGACAGGTGTAGTTTCCAGCTGCTGATCTTGTCTTGCAAATATTGCCTACTTTCAGAGAGAACAGCACAAAGTAGTTAAGCTCAGATATGCTGTTGGATAGCCTCTCAAGGGTCATGGTAAGAGTCCAAGTAATTTGAGCCATTTAAAACCAGACAAAGCTCTTGGGAAGAAGTGGGCACGGCTGACTAGGATGGATGATGTAACAGATCTTGCCTTAGTCTAATTATGGTGACTAAGAATACCTCATTGAATTGAAGAGTGCAGCTAACACTGATAGAATATGTGAGTTGGAGGCCCATTGTGTAACAAATGCAAATGTTTTGTCACCTGCTGGCTGTGATCATTTTCAGATTGTGTAGCATTTGTGATAGGAACATTTGGGTCAGCCTAAAAATCTCATTTTTCACTTTGGCAGTAACAGTTTGACTAGTCTGATAATAATCATAACAATATTCAAATTTCTTATTTTCCCTGCAAAAGGAAAACAGAGAATGGGACACCACAATACATCATTTATCTGACTTAATATTTCTATGCCCTCACTCAAGAGTTTTTGCTTCTTGAGGAGAAATCCACATGATTTGGCAGCTGTCAGTTAACTATACATGAACCCCAAATGCAGAAATATTTTGAAACAAACATTTTGCTTAGCATTTGCTCTGCCTGAACCTGGCAGAAGGAAGGGTTTACAAGAACATACTAAATAAAGATAGTTTTCACTGTGAAGCTTGCTATGGGTGCTTTTCATTTCTTTACTGCAGATTTTGACCTTTCTTTTCATCTTCCAAATTCTTTGCCTGTTTATTCAGCCGTGTTTCTTGCCATCAATCCCCCAACCTCTGCTCCCCCAATAATGTCTTCAATTTCCCCAGAAAAACAGGGTTCAGCATTAGCCTTGGTTTTCTTTAAAATGCACTTCCAACTACAGTTTAACTGTATTTAAACTACTATTTTTTTAGACTCTGAGCATTTTGAGAGAAATATTTGCTTTTGGGGAAACCTGCGCCAAAGTACTGTAGCCCTAATGTGAGAGCAAGACAGCATCTCTCTCTCCGAGGACCCATCCTCTTTGCTGTCATGGCACTCTGGAAATCCCACTTTGCAAGCCCTTTTCAAAATGTGTTTCCAGGCAGCCTGGCCATCAGCCTGGGTAATTATCTGGTCAGCTGAGCAGCTGCTCAAGCACAGACAGACAGACAGACACGATTTCCTAACAGTGCTGGAGCCCTGACAGGAACGCGACCGGGGGTGCTGAGCCTCCAGGATGTTGCTCTTCACAGCTGCCTGCACAGGAAACAGATTTCAAATGTGTCCATCCTTCTCACACCAATCCTTCTGTTTGTACTTAGCCTTTATACTCCTCCCTCCCCCCGGCTGGGTATTTGCTATTGTTCTTATAGAGAATGTTTGCTACTGGAAATGAATAATTGCTGTCACCATGGGCTTTCCACTCAGGGTGTCAGCATGCACAGCATCTCCAGCTTTGCTGCTGCCCATAGAATAAATCATGATCTGCACAATAGTGAAGAACAACTAGGCTGAAGTTTATCCTACCTCTTGCTGTCAAATGTCCCTCAAAGTAAAGGGCCAGAAACAAAACCTGTCATTTCTGCTTCCCTTTAGAGGCTGTCAGCTGCACTGGTCTGGCCCTTTATCATACAGGGTCCAGAAAAGGAGTGGGACCAGCTCCTAAGTAGGGATTTTAAAATATCCTTAGGAAACACCTCCTTAGGGCTCCTATATAGTTCATAGAATAATAGCTTCCCATGCAAGAATTACATGGAGTTCATCCTGGTCTGACTGTGGTGAGAACCACCCTCCTCCATGATTCTCATCAGATGCCAAAGTCAGTGTAAACATCCTCCCTCTGTGACATGGATCACACAGGACAAACCTCTAAAGGGGCACAAATGAGTGTCTCCTTCAAAACTGTAATGCTTTTGGAAAGTCTACTCTTTTCATCTGGATGTCCTAGACTTCTGCCTCCAGACTAGTGTCCCGTATGACTTAAAACATACACCAACAGGCAGTGCTTTTGCTAAGCACATACCTTAAAACTGGGCCACATCCCTCCAAGAGTAGGACATCAAGTAATATACCATAAAATTTGTTTTATGGAAGTCTTTCTTATTATTAGCTTTATTAAGGTTGAGCAAAGATTTTTAATTTTTGCTTAATAAGGTGCATTTATGGGTTTTTCAGTTAACAAGGATATAACAACATTAGGAAGGAAATACCAAGTCAGAGCAACCAACAGCCCCATTTGAAAAAGCATGTGGCTGTGTAAGCATAAGGATAGCCATGAAACTAGAGAGTGAGGTAGAGCACCTCAGGTTTACATATTTACACTTCATGGGTGCTCTTCCTTCTCTCCACATCACAAGGATAAATAAGTATTTACAACTAAGAACTAAGAAATAAATATAAAGAAGGTGAGAGAAATCTCTTTTAGCCTGAAGGTTCCCCTACTTCTGCATGAAGATCTAACCACACTGTTTAAAAGGACTAGTCTGTAGCACCCATAAATATAACAGATGGAAAACCAGATGGGTTTATCCAAAACCCAATCCAAAGTTGACAATCCAAGTTTTCTAACAGAAAACTACAGGGAATATCTGATGGACTCATCAAGCAGAGGAAAGCTAATAACTCTTTAAACTGCTTTAATAAATAACAGTCATAAACTGGAATTTATAAGAGAGAATCTCAACTTAAATGTGAAAAAGTGAACTAATGTTTTTTTGGGCAATTACTCCACAACCTCCTGCAAGGAAAGACAGAAGTCTGTTCATGCAGAAAAGCTAGAAGCTCATATATCCACATTAGTCACCATAAGCTGATGAGGCAGGGCAGAGGATTTGCATGCATGTTTAAAGCAAGTCAGAAAGAACTGCTATATTCGAAGAAAAGTGCATGCAACACTGGAATTAAGGTAAATGTCTGTTGTCTTTGTCATTCTCCAGCTGCTAAATCACAGCACCAAAAGACAGCGGTACTGATGAGCACTGGCACATTAGTTGCTGGTATCAATGAACTGCTGGAAAAAAGCATATGGGAACTAAGATCGGGTAAAGGCTATGACCACAGAGGTGATCACCATTCTTTGGGTTCCAGACTACAGAGGCAAATATGGCTCAGATTTTTCAATGGCTTTTCATACCTCTATGTAAGCAATGTCACCACTGAAAACACCTCTGTGCTCTTTCCCCATGAATGCATTTTGGCAATCTCAAAGACTTAGTCAAGGCACAGGTGGGGTAAATCACAAAAGGCTTTCATTTTCTTTACAAAAAGAAAATATTTTTGTTAAATCCAGAAGGATAGTGTGAGCCCTTTTTTTAAACTCTGATAACATTAATTGTGTTAAAATACAGTACAAACTATTCAAACCTTTGAGAAGCCAAAGAGCAAGGTAAAAATCCTGTATGCTCTCAATGTACTTTGTTATGCTACTGGAACAGACCTTCTCATTGCCTTTGCCTCACCTGTTTGTGGTTGGGTTGATGAAGCACTGGTCCACGGTGGGTCTTCAAACTGAACCCAAGCACTGATGGATGATGACAGATCAGTGCTGGGACACACATGGTTACCAAGCACAGCAGAATCCACCTTGGGCTGCTCAGCTGCCTCCTCCAGCTCTGAGCAGAAAAGATCTTGAAATTCTCCATTTGCATTGTGGTTCTCTTTTGAGGATGTGTCGGAGGAATTAAAACATTTCACCGAAGGAGCCTCAGTGCTCCCTAAAATAGATGTAACAGAAAGATTTACAGGATTGGCCATTATTTCAATGTTTTTTATTGAAACCTATAAAATTTGCCTTTAAATGTAGGAAATTTTCTTTCACCTAATGCAGTTTTTGGATTAACACTGGGCAGTCTTGCGCTTGATTTCAATAGGTGAGATGTCCTCCATGCTTGGTTGGATACTGTCTTGAATTTTGAAGCACAGATCCAAAGCTGTAGTAGATCTACATTACATCACATAAGGAGAGTAATTTGCCTTTTTGGCCCGAATTCTCCTATTACATAGGGGTAGCAGGAGATAATTCAATCTCTGCACAAACTGCTTCCATGCAGAAGGCAAGCTCTCCCATGCTAGATATATGAAAGTAGCTGGACTAAATCAAAAAAGGAAGTCTCACCAGTTCCAGAGAAAACCAGAGAGCTTACCTCGTGGGGGAAGAGGGAGGAGCAGCTCATCAGTGAAGGACACCCACTCGGACTGGTGGGAGGCAATGACACTTGTGAGAGATGTCATATTCACAGCAGGTCACTCATCTTCACTCAGGGATCAGAAGGAGGAGGAAATAGAATGGGAGGGTATGGTGAAGATGAGCAATAGAGGGAAGCACTTCCTTTGCACTTTCTTTTTAACTGCTGTAAAGACAAGAAAATAGATTATTTCTTTTAGAAAATTAAATGGGAGGAACTAGTGCCACCATTTTTTATAATATAGAATGTTAAAGCAATTTAAAGCACTACTGCCTTTGAGACAGGAATGTCACCTGTGTCTAGAGGAGGGTTACACTTGAGCAACTCCTTCATATAAAGCTACCGAGAGTCTTGAGACATCTTCATGTTAAAACAGTCTATGACCAAAACCAATATTTTAGTCTTTACTCAAGGAGCCATGCCTCTCATAATCCCAGCAAGTGCAGATGAGGAGATTCTCCCAGGTTTAGTAAATTTTGATTATGCTGTAACTTAATCCCCACTCCAAGCTGTCAACATGTCTTTGCCCACCTTGCTGCTTACAATGTCTAATCCCTCTGCAGAGCAAGCAATAAATTGCACATTTCATTATCAGTAACATTTATGTAGCTGATTCTGGAATGAGGATGAGTGGCCAATGACTCTTATAGCGGTATAGAGAGCTGCCCTCTCATCTAGATGCACCTTCCACTCTGCTGCTTGACTGGAACTTCACATTTAAATTTAAAAACTATCTTAGACCTTGTTCAGAATTAAGCATGATTTTGCTGTAGCTCAGCAAATGTTTTCACAGATGTGAAAACTGAATTTAGTTGGCCCTCCAACAGTATGCACCCCACACAGATCTGTGAATCTGCTAGATGGAATGGAGCAGTGGAAAGTGCTCTGGTTGTTAGCTAGTAACTATGAGGGTCAGGTCCAGGCAGAGAAATGCTCTCTGACAAGAACCCATGACCACCTCAGTTTTGCAAACCACTTCAAAACTCTCAGAAGACTCTTCCTAGGGAAATATGCTAATTCTGTCCCCAATTATCTCAAGCGCTGAAGCTCTTGTTGCCATGGTGTTGAAGTACTTGAAAATACTCAAACTCAGACCTATTTGAAAGAGCTTTAAGCAACGTTTCTGGGCCTCCTGTCTCTCACCTAACTAAAGAGTTTTTCAGGGTGAAACTTCATGTTAGTGTACAAGCACAGATACTTCACTGAGACTTCTCTTTACCCCATATTAACAGAATTTGGGCCTAAAAAGCAGACATATTTAAATGCATTCAATCTTTAAGCATTTCTGAAGGAGACAGATAATCAAATAGCTTCCAATATTATTATTCTCCTCAGGGCCACAAAGTCCTTTGTCAGCTGAAGGCAGATCAGCAATCAAGAGAGAGCTGAAAACTTCAAATTTTGTAAGTCACAAACGTGTCTGAAAATTAGAGAAAATTCCTGTCTGAAGAAGAATCTTTTTGAGCAGAATAGAATGCGAAATGTACCATTTCCTGCAAACACAAAACAGGACTCCTAGAGATAATCCTGACGGTTACGTGCAATCTGCCATAAGACTGATCCCCTTGCCATAGACTTTCCAGAGCCTGTGAACCCCTGACCCTGCACATCTCACCCTTGTTACACAACCAATTCTCTCCTGCAGGAGGAACAGCAGCACTTGAGCCCCTTTTCCTCCACTGCCATGGCAGGACCCCTGTCCCCATGCAGTGGGCAGCTACACCTGCCTGCCCTAATAACATCTATTTTGGGTGCTGTTAATAGAAACTACAAAGCTAAACATAGAAGCAAGCTAAGGGGAAAAAAAAAATCAGATGTTTAGGGTCATTTGGAGGCCATATGAGGGAAGGAGAGGATGACCTTGGTGTCTTGTTTTTCTCATGTGACCAATTAAGCTGGTTTTTTTGGGCTTGTTTAAATATCTGTAACTAAGTTTTCTTTTCCCAGACAACTGGATACTGACCTGCCCTTTCTCCTGGAAAAGTTCTGACAGAAGCATTAAGTGGCAGGAAATGAAAAAAGAAAACAGTTTAGCCTGCCCTTGATGCACAGAGATCGCCATAGAGCTAATTTTAAAATTAGGGTTTTTTTTTTAAATTTCAAGGTGACGAAAGATATGAAAGGAGGCAAGTTAAAGGAGGCAAGGACTGTTTCAGCAGTACAGATACGTGGGAGAATTATACCATTATTTTAAGATGGATTTCTTCTAGTACCCTACTGCCTTGTGACAAACATAATTCTTAAAATTCGCTTAGTACCAGACAGCAAAACTAACACTTTCAAATGGATAGTAAGCATTACAAGCCCAGAAAAGCATCAGAATACTGTGCATTGCGGGTTATACAACTTTCCCATGACTGGAATTTTCTAGAGACTTCCCAGTTTGGTAAATAAAAGAGATTGTGTTGACTTATCAGGGTTATCATGCCCTTTAAACAGGCAGCCTGAAAGAGAAGAAAGGCAGTCTGAGTAGCTAATAACTTCAAAGATATTCAGAAAAGAGGCATTTTGAGGATGCATATGTTAGGTTAAAAAAAAAAAAAGAAAAAGATACAATTTTGCATTCTTTCAACATTCACAAAAGATCCTCAATCCCACCCCTTGCCCTAAATGCCTGTGCAGAATTATGAATCACATATAGCTAACACCTGTGCAGACTATGTGGAAAAAATACTTCATCCACAAACTTTCACCTCTCATTCACTCTCCCAAATCCTCCTTTGAGAAAGACTTAAGCCCATCCCAGTGTGAACCAATGGGCCTCAGGCAGCACAGCACCAGTGCCACTGTGCATTCAGTTAACACCACGATGCTGCAATCTGCAGAACTACTACAGAGGTAAATCTCTACAGAAGAATCATTTGTATTGTGGGTAAACCTGAATTCTCTCTGTACCAATGCAGTCAGCACCACTATTTAAACACTGCAGCAAGTACTCTGCAAGTGAATTTCAGAGTGTTCCTTCCTGTTCTTCAGAAATCTCAGATATCTCTGGCTATTCATAGAGCAATGAATTTTGGAGCCTACTAGGAATAAGAACAAATGGATCCTCTAAACTACAAGTGAGCTACAATTAAAACAAAAGTTTATGCTGCTCAGCCCAAACAAGAGCAGATGGGAACACATTTCTTGGAACAAGATATTACCAGGCCAGACCAGCATTTTTTTTCTCTCTACATGAACAGGATTGTTTTGATAGTTTCTTCTGGATTTATGTTATAATGTGCACTAAGCTTTTGCTCCTGAACTGGTTAAAGAAAAGAAAAAGTAAGCTAGTTTATCAGATTTTTGGTAAAAAAAAAAAAGTGAATCAGAAGTTTGTTTGTTCAGAATCAGAAGTTCCAAGGCAGTGACTTGACCATGAGGCAAATGAACAGGATTGTTTTGATAGTTTCTTCTGGATTTATGTTATAATGTGCACTAAGCTTTTGCTCCTGAACTGGTTAAAGAAAAGAAAAAGTAAGCTAGTTTATCAGATTTTTGGCAAAAAAAAAAGAAAGTGAATCAGAAGTTTGTTTGTTTCCTACTATCACACAGTAAGTACAATATTTTACCTACTCACCCCAATGATCCTTACCATCAGTTCCAAGGCAGTGACTTGACCATAAGGCCAAAAAAACTCTCTAAGAAGCTGAAATTTCTGCTTCAGGTGTCCCTTTTCCACATTACAGTTTCACAGTGGTGCATGTAAATCTGAGTGACAAGTAGGTGACAGTTATTTCCAGATCTTCAGGAGGCAGAGATCATAGAGCTGGAACAAAACTCCTTGTCTCTTTAGTCCTCTCAGTGTTTTGATAAAACACATTATACAAGCCCTTTTGAAAACTGATGGTTTATTCTAAAATGACAGAACTGCTTTGATAACTAGAAACCTCTTCTTTCAAAACTATGTAAATTCACAGACTACAGCCATTCCTTCTTGTGACATGATTACCCATCTATCCTTTTGTACAACTCCACTCTAGCAACAGATGAAAAGGAATAGCATTGTCCTTCTCCCTTCACCTTGGTAAACCAAAAACATGTATTTGAGAAAGACACATATAATTATCCAGAAGTCTGGCACCCAGCACCTTGTACAATGAGCCCTCACTTTAGGTGGGACCTTTAGACACTATGTGAGTACAAGCACCAACAGTACTAATGTTGATATGTAGAAATGTTTGTGGCACTATTGAGGCTTAGAAGTATCAGAAGTATCTGTAATTGCATGGTGGTTTTGTAAGCATACCATTCCAAGTATTTAATTACTCATGTGTTTGGACAGCAAACTCAAACAGTTTCTCAGTAGATTTCAACTCTGCTTAGAAGAAACAGCTTAGCACAGTTAATAATTTTAAGCACTAAGGGTCATTTCTCCAGTTGCTTCAAGTTATATCCATATGATTCAGGCTGCAGTTGGCTTTCTAATCACTACCCAGAGTTACTAGGTTATATGGGAAAACAGGAGAAAAAATCAGAATAAAAATACTGAGAATGAAATTCAGTTGTTTGCTTTCTTGTTTCCCAAATATAAATAAGTACTAAGCTTGTGCTAAGGGCACAGACTCTATTGCCTGACATGGCAACAGTATTGGAAAAAAATCCTATAATCCATACAGTGATTCTGTTTTTCTTGCCTATACACTCTCTCACAATCTCAGGAACTGAAACATTAACTGGTTACAGTGGTTTGCATTTGGTTTTGTAGGCGACCTTTGTGGGAAAACAACTAGACAAGCTGTTAAATTCCACTTAGAAGAGAAAAGAAACTAAGCCAAAAGAACAGTAACAAAAGGAAAAACTCTGACCAGGGCTTTTCTTATAACAAACAAGCTTCACTCCCACCAGGAAAGCCTCAAGGAAAAATAAGTAATTTTATCTTGACCATGTGTTTGGCAAACCTGTACAGATGAAACTATTCTGGTAGCATGAAGTGAGGAATGATTGCTGCCTTGGGCAAATTTCCAAGTGAGCGAGAGCTCATGGCTCTTCCTCTTGGCTTGGCCTGTAAATAAACACTGACCATCAGCACATCATGAGCTGAATAACAAACAAACTCCAAATTGGAACTCTGTTCTCCAGCATCAAAACCAAGTCCCAAGTACTTCAAGGTGCAACAGCATAAACAAAACACAGAGCTAAACAACAGGAAAATAAACCAAAACAATGAACTTGAGAAACCC